GGATGTACAATGGACCCACCACTAGACAGCCAATGCTATGAAAATCACTCTCAGGCATAAAAAGGGAAGAGGAAAACCTCATTATGCAGTATATTCAAACTAAGTATTGTACTTACAAAAAGTAGAAACAGAAAGGCATCTAACAAAACCAACTCCTCCAAACCAGGTCGGCATGATAACATCAACCTGCTCGAATGCATTTCGCTCCACTGAACACCCTCAAAGGTTTTCCGGCAATACTGGGGTATATGATTTACAAATGTTTAACAGCGCAACACACTGTTGGTATATGTCAGTTGGCTATCCGAGTATTTGGATATTATTACATTATGATACAGGATTTATATAGCGCCAACAGTTTACGCAGAGCTTTACAATATAAAGGGGGACAGTACAACTACAATATAGTTCAATACAGAAGGAATTGAAGGGCCCTGCTCGTGGAGCTTACAATCTAAAGGATATTTGCAAGTGCTGCTGTGTATCCAAATGTGCGGATTTAAATTGTGCAGATTTCACATTTATATTTTTGTTAATTTTTATGATTAATATTTTTTTGCACCTAGCCCGGATAAATGGATTTTGTCAGGTTTTTATTGTGGTCTGTGCCCCTGCTTCATCCGGGAGAAATAGAGGGGGAAGAATCCTCCTCTATTTGTTCCGATGACTATAGTCACAGAGAGACAGAAAGCAAGTGAAAATCCTACATTTTTAAGTTGTCATAAGAGCATGAAGGAAAACCTTATCGGGAAAGATGTTCCAATGACAACTAGGTAAGTCCAAAACAGGAGGTGAAGGGAAACCACCTCAGTAGGAAACAGACAGCAAAAAGAAACCTGAGAAGAGCTTTAGTGCTGAATTTTTTTTTTTCATACTTACATTGTTCCAGCTTGGCTTGATGAAAGTATGCATATCTGATATTGGGGTGGCTGCTTGAGATGCTATTAATTACTGTAGTAGTCAGCACTACATGAGTGTGAGAGCCATGATATTCTGAGTCTGTGCAAGCAGCCTTCCCTCTGCACACTGAAAACGTGGGGTCGCTCGCTTGGCACCTCTGCCATTCACAGAACACTTTATTTTCTCTTTAGTGAATACAAGGCATTCTCTGATTGGATGATGTTGATAGTGTGGCATTACCCCCCCTCCCCCCCCCCCCCCCCCCCCCCCCCCTTTTCCACCTTGTCCATTCAGACAATGCTCTCATTGTATGTACAGCATCCCAAGCAGCCCTCCTAATATCACATATGCATGCTTACATGCTTATTACACTGGACCAGCCAAGCTGGTCCAATGTAATAATGCAAACAGTATAATTCCTGCAGATCGGCATTAATGATTCACTAAAATATCAAACCAACTAACACAATCTATAGCGTCAATACCATAATGTGTATAAAATATTGTGTTAGGTTGCCTTGACTCATTCACTTGTTTTGACACTCAAAAGCTGGATGAAAGTGTCAGGAAACTGCCCTGTGCCTTACTTTACACTGAAAGTCTCCAAACCGGTCAAACCAGATTTCTTGTACTATATGTGGTGTCTCAGATGGCAATACCATGATTGATTTCATCTCTTCTGCAGGGTGATACTGAAGTTCAACTTCCGCTCTGCCCCTTCTGTTTTCAAATCCACCTAACCAATGTGACAGAAACCTGTTCATTTGGAACCAAAACGTTGGAATGGGCCGTTTGAAAACCCTTTTTAGAACTTCCACAATCTACAGGCAAACATGTAAACATTATTTTACAATGTGGCTCATTTATCAACATATGAAAGAACTGTGTAACCACAGCACCCAATCACACTCTTCCTACAAATTCAAACTTGCACTGAAATATGGAAATATGATTGGCTGTTCTGGAGAGCACAAATCGGTTTCAGATTTTGTTTCAGATTCAGTCTGTGTGATGGACAAAAAAATCCCCTCAAACTATACCCAGTCAGGCAGACCCTCATACTAAATAGTTGTTTGTAAATTCTGTAAATCTGAATCTAAATCAAAATCTAAGGAAATCTGTGAGGATACTTCAGTACTGTCAGATCTAGGCACCCATATGATCTGTGCATACCCACTTTACAGCTGCAGTCTAGGACCATATACCTTTCATTCCACTGATTATTACTCTACAAGACCTGATGATGGGAGAGTGTTGGTCCCATGAAACACATTGGCTTTTTTGTTTTTTTTTTCTTCTTGTAGATCGCAGATCGGAGTAGTGTGTTGCTATCATTCTTCTAATATTTCAGTACATTCTTAAGCTAGCCTTAGACGGATGGATATTTGGCCGACTGAATTTAGATCCGTCTATGGCAGGCATGTCCAAAGTCCGGCCCGCGGGCCATTTATGGCCCGAGGGTCGGTTTAATACGGCCCTCCATGTCAGTGTGGCTTATGGAGCGAATATGGAGCGGCCGGTCCGGTATTTCCACCGCGGCCGTGTCAGAATACCGGGCCGGCCCGCTCAGCTCTGCAGCGGGACCTTACCTGTTCCTCTATCCAGCGGCGCGCTGTCTTCCCGGCTTCTGTAGTGTGGGCGCTGGGCATGACAGCCGGGTGCCAAGTGCGCATGCGCAAGAAGCGGTGCTTTTTGTGAATGGTAAGGCGGTACCTGGGACACATGACAGATCCCAGAAGCCGCCGGACCAATCACAAAGCGCAAGTGCTTCTCGCTCATGCGCACTGGGCACCCGGCTGTCATGCCGAGCGCCATTACAGAAGCCGGGAAGACAGCGCACGGCTGGATCGAGGAACAGGTAAGATCAAAGAACAACTGCGGAAGTAAGAGCGGGTACCTGTCAAATTCAGGTACCCGCTCCCCACCTCCCCAAAGGTCAGCAGTCATCTGTACTGTCCGCAGTCTCTGGTCATCCCTGTGCTGTCCGCAGTCTCTGGTCATCCCTGTGCTGTCCGCAGTCTCTGGTCATCCCTGTGCTGTCCGCAGTCTCTGGTCATCCCTGTGCTGTCCACAGTCTCTGGTCATCTCCTGTACTGTGTCTGCAGTCCATTAGTTCAGAATTTTTTTTTTTTCCTGTTTTCTGCCTCTAAAACCTAGGTGCGTCTTATGGTCAGGTGCGTCTTATACGGTGAAAAATACGGTAACTTGGCATAAAATAATTTATTTGCATTTAATTGTAATGGTTCAAAGAATGTTTGGAAAAATGTTCGGCCCTCCACCATGTTCACTTCATCCAATCTGGCCCTCTTTGAAAAAAGTTTGGACACACCCCTGGTCTATGGCATCGAAAGCACAAGGCCCACCAAGCCTTTTTATGTAGTTCTCACACCTGTCCTTCTGTGGCACCCCCCTTGTCTCCACCCCCACGTTGCCTCAGCAGTTGGCAGTGGAGGGGACAGAACTCCTCCTACAGATCCTGCACCTATCTGTGCAGCCACAGCACCCCCTCATCTCTGCCTCCCCTGATCTCAGCAGACTCTGGCAGCCAACTTCAGCCCTCCTCTGGTCCTCCTGCAGAACCTGCAGTTTCTGCTTCCCAGCTCCATCCTCAGCTTCTTCCCAGCAGCAGCACATGGTAAGGGGTGAACTATGACTTCTAATGGTGGGGGGAGTTCTTGACATCTGATGTAAGGGGGATGGGGGTGCTCTGGACATCTAGTCTGGCCCTTTCAGGACAATCATAATGGTGATGCATCCTGCAATGAAATTTGGTTTGACACCCGTGATCTATGGGGAGGTTGGTTGTACAGAAGTTGATCCATCGATCGACTTCAGTACAACCAGCCCATTTTTTTTGCACACGATCACTGCCTGTGGCTATAGCCTCCAGCAGTTATTGCATTCTGGCACTGGGGAAGGCTCGCCACCAGTAGAACACAATAGAGTTGCAGTACGGATTCCCCCATCAACACTGACTGCATTGATGGGGAAATCAAGCAATTTTCTTTCCTTCAACTTGTGATTGAAGGAAAGGAATTTGCATTATGTATGGCCTGCCTTAAATCACAAGTATGAAAAATTCATGTAGCCAGTGGAGTCTGAGTACTCCTTATTTACATACTTGCTCTGAGTATTAGGGCTATTAAATCTGAAGGTGGCCAGGCAACTAGAATGTTCTGTAGGGCAAAGTAACAGGTCTTCTTTATAGTCTACTTTCTCTATAGTGGCATTTACCGTTCCTGTGCTCCTCTCCCCCCCTATTCAACATTACTGTTGGAGCTTACATAGAGCTAAGGACTTTCCCCATGTGAAAATACTTGGGACCTGGAGACCGGCTATTCAGGCACAAAGCACAGTGTCATGGGAAGAAGGCAACAAGATCACATGCTACCCTATGCTGGGTATTTCACAGGGCATTGCTAGTGAATGAAGCAGGGGAGAATGGGGGGGAAGGTAAGTATCTACAATGGAGAAAGTGGGCTACCAGGTGAACCTGTTACTATACCCCAGATAGGCTTAGTGGTGGGTTTACTTTAAGCAGAAAGACTTGCAGATATCTCACCAGAAGAAAAGGGATGGAGACTCCTGCCCCCATCCCTTGTATTGTGCTATGCCCTGCTGCTCCTCACAGAGGTGAATTGAAACAGCTAACATACTATGCAAGCCCACCTACTTTTATATGTTTTTGTATCAGCACCCACAGATCTCTATCAGTATCTAATATTTTAAACACAATTTGCAAAACTCTGGCAATGTGTTCTTCGCCCAGATTCTGAATGGTAAAGCTAACCATACACAGGTCAAATATTGGTCAGTTCCTGTGAATTGCCTGAAATTTGAGCCATGGGTGGTCCTGCCAACACCACCTGGCCAACAAACTTCAATTGAGAGATTGAAGGAGCTGGGTGAAAAAAAAAAGGTTGACAATCAGCTGCAGTCACTCTTTCTGATATTCTGACCTGGTGTTGGTTGTCAGAATACAATAGCAAGCAGCAGGAGATTTGTCCATTCACAATGTTTAGTGTGAATGGTGGAATCTATTGATTTCCCTCTTTAGGTTTATCGCCAGCTTAAGATACACAAACTAGCACATTACTCACGTGATTTTCCAGTAATTTAGCCACGGTTGGCGACATCATCACAGCACAGAGCACAGTAATAAGGAAGAAGAAGATGGCGTACATGATGCGAGTGCTTGTAGACTGTTTGATCCCTGGGCAGCAAGTGCAGCATAGTGCACAGGCTGCAGTGCCGCAGCAACAGGCAACCTGCAAGAAAACACAGCATTCAGTTCAGGAGCTGGGGATGTATAAATCAGTCTGATCAATGCCCATATGACAACTCATAACAGCACACAACAAACTAGGACTTATAGGAGAGTTCCCATGCAGATTTCATATTTACCTAAAATAAATACTCCAGCCAAAACTTTCCTTGTGCAGTCTGTGCTCCCACTGGGGAGATCTAACCTCTCTTTCCTGAGGACCATTGTCACTGGGAGAGAAAGCGATGGGAAAATTCAACATTTTATAGCTTTCACCAGCTATGTGTGTGTCCAAAGGGTATACCTCTCCTGGTGAGAACATTCAAAAGGTAGAGATTTCCCCTAATCTTTGAATAATTCTACTTACCTACTGTTCTTTGTAATCTATTCCCCTCCCCTTCCACTGCTGTCCTAATATCTAAACCAGGGTTTCTCAACAAGGGTTCCTCCTGAAGATGCTAGGGGTTCCTTGGGCAATGAACAATTTCTGTCCTTCAGATAAGTTCTGTACTGACACCATTGATCTTTTCATCCATCTATCAGAGGGGATAATTCTTCCCACTGACCTTTGCACTAATGTACTGTATCATGAGTTGTAGATATAGTCATTTTTAGAAGGAGTTCTCTGACACAGAAAATTTTTTTCAAGGGTTCCTCTGTGTTGAAAAGGTTGAGAAAGGCTGATCTAAACTAATAATAACACCTCTCCAATACCAACCCGTGACAGACCCAACTGGGAAAGGGGCTTTTGGAGGGGACTAGAGGCTAGCCTTCTACCCACTGCCCATGGAGAAGACGGGGGATTTTGTCTGCACCTCCTGGTCAGAGCATGAAAAGTGCTCAGTTCAGCTTCTGATCACATGGAGAGAGCGGATCAGTCTGTGATAATGGATAATAACCTGATGAACGCTGAGAGTGAGGCTTGAAAGAATTCTCTGAATAAAGACAATGAAGCTTCCTTTTTGAAGTGGATTTAAAGATGTCATATTAATTTTGTACAGGTTAATGGTCAGATGAAATGCGGTGGCCCTCCTGCAGACTGGGTTGGAGAAGCTCCTCTTCTTGGGACATTAATATTTAGCCAGAATCCCCCTCAAGAAATCTATGAAGATAAATGAATTCCACTTTTTCAGACTGTTGGAACATTGTATGAGTTTTGTGTTATGACAACTTTTCTAGTGGAAAGATTATACAAGTGAACCGGAAACACTTGAAAGACAGCATGTGTAATGTACTTTGTATATCCAGGAGTGTGGGCTTATTGCCAGACTGTCTGGGGTGGGCTCCAGACTGCTCTGGATGCCTGGCTGTTGATTAGCTTACTGTTAATTAGATCACGGTTAGATCACGGTTAGCTGTTAATTAGATCACGGTTTGATGTTGGCTGTTCATTAGATGTTGCATTATTTAGGATCATGTGATCTTGTGTGGTATAAATTTATTTCAGGTACTTATATAGCACTGTCAATTTACGCAGCGCTTTACATATATATTTGTACATTCACATCAATCCCTAACCCTCAAGGGGTGTACACTCTAAGGTCCCTAACTCACATTCATATCTGCACATACTAGGGATAATTTAGACAGGATCCAATTCACCTACCAGCATGTCTTTGGAGTGTGGGAGGAAACCGGAGTACCCGGAGGAAACCCACTCAGGCACAGGGAGAACATGCAAACTCCAGGCAGGTGGTATCATGCTTGGGATTCGAACCAATGACCCTAGTACTGCCAGGCGGAAGCACTAACCATTTAGCCACTGTGCTGCCCCCACCTCTTTAACCACTAGCCACCCCAGCCACTGTATAAAAACAGTAGCAGGGTGGCACGGTTGGGCAAAAGCAAGTTTTAAAACGTGTTTTTTTTTTAAAACAGGTAGGGGGCGCGCGCGAGGCACGCCGCCGCCCTACCTTCACCGCTGATCTCAGCCGCGGGTGTCAGTCGCCGGGTCACAGCCGGTTATTATCAGCTGTGTCCCGGCGATTAGCGGCAATCAGTGACAGAGAGCAGGGCTGCAGTAGCTCTGCTTTCTGTCAGTTCCTGACAAGCTGACCAGGAGAAAAGAGTTTCTCTCTCCCAATCAGCGGTGTTCCCTGCAGTACACACCCCCGCCCCCTAGTAAAACACTCCCCTCACACAGTTAACCCTTTCAGTGCAAAAAAAAGTTAATCCCTTCCTCCCCAGTGCCTTTAGTACAGTGTCGGTGTTTTTTTTTGCACTGATCACTGTATTGGTGTCACTGGGGATGTCAGTGACCCTAAGTCAGTTCCCCCCAGTGTCAGAATGTCCGCCGCAGTCCTGCCATAAGCCGCTGATCGCCGCCATAAGTCACTGATCGCCGCCATAAGCACTGATTATTAGTATAAAAAAAAATTTAAAATCCGAGTATCTTTCCCGCTATTTGTAAACGCTATAAATTTTCACGTAAACCAATTAATTTACACGTATTGGGTTTTGTTTTAGCAAAGACATGCCGCAGAATGCATTTTGGCAGAAATTCATGACGAAATTTGATTTTTAAATTTTTTTCTACTGGACATGTTTTATAGCAAAAAGTACAAAATATAGTTTTTTTTTTCTCAAAATTGTCAGCTTTTTTTTTTTAAAGGCCAAAAATAAAAAACGCACAGGCGATCAAATACCACCGAAAGAAAGCTCTATTTGTGTGAAAAAAAGGACATAAATTTCATTTATGTACCGTATTGCATGACCGCGCAATTGTCCGTTAAACTAGTGCAGCGCTGTATAGCAAAAAAATGGCGTAAATTGCAGTATCTGTACCATAGTTTGTAGACGCTATAACGTTCACAAAAAGCAATCAATATCCACTTATTGGGATTTTTTTTACCAAAAACATGTAGCAGAATACATTTTGGCTTAAATTTATAACTCATTTTGAGTTTACTATATATTTTTTTATAGCTGAAAGTAAAAAATTGTTTTTCTTCAAAATTTTTGGTCTTTTTTTGTTTATTGCATGAAAAATAAAAAGCGCACAGGTGATCAAATACCACCGAAAGAAAGCTCTATTTGTGTGAAAAAAAGGACGTAAATTTTGTTTGGGTGCAGCAGCGTTGCATGACCGCGCAATTATCAGTTAAATTAGTGCAGCGCCAAGTAGAAAAAATAGGCCTGGTCATTAAGGGGGGTAAATCCTCAGAGGGCAAGTGGTTAAATTCTGTGTGAATGTGCAATAGAGTAAGCTCCAGTTGCACCTAAGCAAGTGTTGTCTAGTCCTTGGGTGCAATTCCCAGCTATAATACCTTGTTCCTGTGGCCCAACAGTGAGGAAGCAGTTCTTGGATGAAAGCACTCAAGAGGGGTGGCAGGCGGTCTGCCACACCACCTATCTGCAGCTTGGGGCTCTCACCAGATGCTGGTGAAAACACTGTATGGAGGCGAGTCAAGTGGGTGCTAAAATTTACTAAAATTCAGATACAGCCAGCCAATCGGCAGCTTTGCTGAAATGCAGATCCTTTGGTTTGACAGCGCCCACTCTGTTCCCTACTGCTGCTGTATTCTGTTGCAGACTATTACTACTAAATGGGCTGTTCCAATGACTTACAAACAAAATGGGTTGACCTCTCATAATTTATTAACATATGTAATTATTCTGTTTATAAAATAATAACTACATAATAAAAATATTAATAGGATTCTAATAATTTCTCCAGTATATAAAAAACATTCAAAGGTAGCACTGAAATCAATTAAAAGAATTAGAATAAAAAGTAAAAATATATTGTTTGTAATTGCACTCACTTGTCTGGTCTCACCCACTATTATGATATCTGAATTATTAAAGCAGTCTTAAACCCAAAAGCTAACATTTATTATATTTCAGCTTACCAAATCTTAGATGTGGTGGCTGCATTAGTTTTGTCCTGATGTAGCAGTTACAGGAATGTGTCAACACTGACAAGGGGGCTTACAATGATCAGCTTTTATCTATTTATGTAAACATTTATTCCAAAAGGAAAAAAAAACTGTTTGCTGTAACTGCTTATAAAGTATTAACTGGAGTTCGGCTTCAATTTGTTAGTGTATCTAAATCTGCTAATACATCTAACCCTAGGCTGACAATGCAGCTGTCCAAAAGGTGCCTCTATGCTCTCTTTCACCCAGAGTGGGGGTACTAATACAGGAGGTGTGTTAATGGCCAGATCACCAGGTGACAACAGAGGGAAAAAAAAAAACCAAAAACTAATGCAGCCACCACATCTAATGATTGGTAATCTGCAATAAATTACAGTTTGGGGTTTAATGCTGCTTTAAACAACACATTTTATATAATTTATAGTCATATTTACATTTTTTGTTCACAAAATAGATATTTCTATATGGTTTTTACAGCAGCTTTCAAAATATTACTATTTTTTCTTCTATTATCTTCAAAATAATTGTGATGGAAATTATTTAGAATGAACGACTGTTTAATTAATTAACCGATCACCAATATCAAGCTACATCCCAGGGATCTTCCATTGATCATGGCTGATTGTGGCCACGAACTATTATCTATTAAAAGGTACTTGTATAGCGCCGTCCTTTTATGCAGCTCTTTACATATATATTGTACATTCACATCAGTCCCTAACCCTCAAGGGGTGTACAATCTAAGGTCCCTAAGCTCACATTCATACATACACATACTAGGGCCAATTTAACAGGAGCCAATTAACCTACCAGCATGTCTTTGGAGTGTGGGAGGAAACTGGAGTACGCGGAGGAAACCCACACAGATACAGGGAGAACATGCAAACTCCATTAAGGTGGTGCCTTGGTTGGTATTCGAACCAACGACCCAGTACTGCCAGGTGGAAGTGACTAACTCAATATAACTCGAGTTATAATTCGAAGAACAGACATGCTAGGAGAGGGATTTTGGAAAAGAAAGGGAAAAAGAATACATTTGATACCTAAGGAATGTTTCTAAACACTGAACATTAAATGATGCCCCCTAGCAGGGGCGGACTGACAACTTATGGGGCCCCTGGGCAATAGGGGATCATGGGGC